GCGCCAAGTCGATGGCTTCCGGCTTTGTTGAAATTTAACGAGTTACAGGCACGAGAAAATGAAGAGCACATAACGCTTTATTCGTCTATTTATACAAGCCCCAATATTACAAGTCCAGATTGTATTTTCTTGTTCTTACGTTAAAAACACCGCGTTAAAAGTGTCATGAGGTTTTAAACATTTACAGACACTCAAAAGACTCACCTCTAACAAGAAACATCACATTTTTATCTTTTTTTTTTTTTCATCTTTTATAAGCAGCGCGATGTCCGTCGGCCTTTTTGAGGAATCATCAGCGACGTAGTACGAAAACCTTGGCCGAATTATCGATCACACGCGAACACAACCGCGCATATCTATGTGTAAGAAGTCTATGAGAGAGAGAGAAAGAAAGAGAAGCGGATAAGAATCGTTTTATATTTCGCACGATTCGATGCACTTTCATCTCTTCTCCTAGAGTGAGAAGAGGAGAGACGAAGATGGAAGAGAGAGAAAGAGTTTCCAATGAATATGAAATTTCGCAAAGAAGTTTATACTTCGAATACACCATTTTTCATTACTGGCCGGTTTAATGACGTTGCTCTCATGAGACGCATGAAATAAGGTTGAATAAATTTTCACGCGGTTCTTTGTTGGCCGTTGCATTGCTTATTCCCTCCCGACCATATTGAACCGACTATAAACTGCGCGGTCGCTTGCCTTTCGTGCCGCATCATCATCTCCGCAGCCGGTTTAGTCGAGGACTCGCAACAAAATGCTGTTCGCGCAGAATGATCAGCTTAACTGGAAGGATAGCAACGTGAAATAAGTGTTTGAATGTGAAAATTTTTCACAAGTGTTTTATTTATCCGGTATTGATTGTATTCTAAAAAAAAAAGTCATATACACACACGTACATGGTTTATCTCCTTAAAAACTTCATCGTATTGATTTATGTATAACATCGATCCTCTCATTAACTTAATATGAGAATTAATTGAAAAAAAATTTAAATTTATTAATATAATAAAGTTATAATTTTATACAGATTCTCTCGAAAGTTCTCGATTTAACTCTCGAGACTCTCTGTACGTGTAGGCGATGTCGGTGCACACCGATTGCATCGTTTTATTTCGCTCGTCAATTAATCTTGTTATACATTCCATTTTATACATCGCGACGGTCATCAGTGATATCGACTTTTATAACGAGTATCCTTGTCGACTTGTTTAAAATTTCGCAGCCGGTTTGCCGAGAATGCAACACATAGCAACAGTAAACCGCGTCACAGTAATTCAAAGATTCTTGCTTTGATGCTTATATAGTCTTTCTTCCAAGTTCGCTTCGAGCCGCAATTTCGTTTTCCATTCACTGTTGCTAGACATGTTCGATTTTTCGATTAGATTGTCGATTGAAGAAGAGGAGCAAAAAGATCGTTCCCCGCTCGATTATACGCGGACGTGTATGAATACGACGCGACGAAGTGCGCGTACTTACTATAATACATTTACAAATTCAATTCGGTCGGTACACTTAGCTGAGCAAACTCGTCGAACTACGGGAAATAAACGCCATCGAAAAGAAGTAGAAGACATCGACGACAACGACGGTCTGCGACATTTGCTTTTCTCAAACCCGGAAAGTGACGCGAGTCTTCAAGTATTTACCGTCTTCTTTTTCAGTGTTGCCTTCGAGTGGGCTCACTTCACTACCGAAGATAACGCCTTTTCTCGCGATATTCCTGGAGATCGGAGAAACATTGTCTCTCGCTATTTTGAGTAACGCGCCGGTTTCTCTTCGCCGAGAAAATACCAGGTAGTATATATAGTAACAATCGGTCGCGTCGCGCCGCCGTCCATTATGTATCGTGTCCCAATCGAGTTGGTCATCGAAGAGACCGGAGCTGCGAGTCTCGAGGAATGCAACAAAGCAACATTGATACGTGGAAAGATGTGCGAGCACGTACACATCCGGCCGTCTCGGGCCGTGTGTCAGGCCCGTGTGTATGAGAACGCGTTCAAGTGCCTCGGCCTTTGGGTGAATGGCTAGGCAACCTTGAGAGGAGTGCTCGGAATGTGCCATCCCCTGCAAGCTTCTTCTTGAGTAGCTGCTCTACCTGCTCTAGAAGCGAACGATCTCTGGATGGTCTTTTTTGTATCGCGCGTTAACAGCCGCGCGCAGCCTTGCAACACATATCGCCACCTTGCAATTCTGTTGCGCGCTTCCTGTCCCTTTCTCTTTCTCCTCCGCTCCTTTACCTACCTACCTGTTCTTGCTGTCTTCTCTCTCTTTCTCATATATTCTTACTGGCGCGCGTGCGCCAGTAATTCGTACCTACAATTCCGCAATTCCTGCCGCGGCGAAATCCGATCGACGGTGTTTCACGGAAGACGGATTTCTAAGATATTCGCTGATTCCGAAAGTTCGCACACGAAAAATCCGTCCGAATGTTTGGTGAAAAATGTAAAATCGGTATCAAATACAGTATATGGTTCACGGTTCGCTGCGCTCGACGATCAAATTTCCCTTCCTTCCTTTTCCCCTCTCCTGTGCGGTTCAGAGACTAAATATCTCTTTGCTTGCATAATTAATTATGCGGTTCAACGCTCGCTTTATCCTTGCGAAGAGGAAGAAGAATCGACGGGTCGCGTGTCACGGAGCAACCTTGATGAGTACGGGCGCACCACCGGTCCGGGAGGACACTCGATTGCACCCGGCAATATCATCCACGCTTGAATATTTCGCTGCATTAATTGCTGCTATTTAAAGAAGATCGCCGCACACGCGTCAATTTCTGAAATACCAATTATGACGGCAATTGCCCGTAATTGCTAGTTGAACGCAACGACGAAGACAGTTACAATTGCTATCTTTTTCTTCATTAAACGTAATTTTGCACGCGAATCTATAGCCTAATTAAAAAGAAACGGAGTTACGTAAACGAATTATTCCGCAGATATCGCATAAAATGCAAAAACACGTGGCGGTTTTTTTTTTTTTTTTTTTGGACGTCTTATTATGTTCTTATATGGTTGTAAAATGATTCTCTCTCTTTCTCTCTCTTTCTCCTTCCGCAAACCGAATTGTCTCTTTTTCCTTTTCTTCGTTTTTGATTAACTCGCAATCATCATTCCGCAATTATCGAAGAAAATGCGTGAATGTAGCGCGATCTTGTCGTTATTTTCGCCGCGATTTCGACGCGTTGTCGAAATCATACGCGCGGATTAATTGGCGCGGTTACACGTTAAACCGTACACGTTTTTACCCTATTTCTAGATTCGTTATGAATGAAAGCCTCGTTTTTCCGCGGCTTAATCTCGCATCGCTTCGCTTGGCTCGTCGACGTCGGTCTGTGAGTTGCGTGGCGCCACCGATTTCGACGTATAATCGCATCCCGTGACTATCTACACGCGGTGATGCACAAAACAACTCTTTTATACATATGTATAAAAAAAAAAAAAAGAGAAATTATATACACAATAAATAATTCCGGAACAAACGAGATGTGTGCACGTAAATATGATATATTGTATGTCAATCTCCTCTTCTTGTTCTAATGCAAATGACAAATAAGAAAATAAATCTTGCTGACGCGTTTTACCAATTGACGACGCTTGAACGAAATTTATTTGACGAAGACAAATGTCGTCGGTGTTAACTACTTGTACGTCTGTCAACGGGCGCGCATTGTAGCGCATTCAAGCGCATTTGCTGATTCTGCATTTTGCCAAGGCGCCTTGCCAAAAAACGCTCGTCAAAATGTGCGAACGTGGCTTCATTACTTTGACAATCTGTGCACCGCACACTGTATCTTTTGAGTATTCGTTACAATATATAAATATTTATTTCTCAAGGAGAGAGATAAACAGAGAATGATATCATTCATTGCCGTCAAATGTAAAGTAATTTATGAACGTACACAATTTCGTCTCCTTCGTACACACATACACGCGCGCGCGCGCGCGCCCCACACATGTATGCACGCGCGAAAGCGATTGCTATATTCCCGCGAATAAACCGCGATGACGTAGATTCTATATCAGGAAAGTATTCCCCTCTGTCATCGATGAAATCAAAGCGAGAAACGATCGCGAAAGAACTGGTCGCGATATTATCGTGGGAAAGAAGAACAATAAAGAATACGGTATAGCGCAAAAATAACGCGTGGTTTGTTTGCCTCGATAACGAGGTTTGTTTCGTCACAAATCGAGAAATAACGCGATTAATATATACGTGCAAAGTACGTGCGAGAATTTATGGAAATAATGACGTCGCACGTTTTTTCTCGTAAGCGGCAACCGAGAAGAGCGCGACGGATTATTTCTGGTGTCTTTTATAATAATGTTGTTCTGATCGGGCAACCTCGTCGGTTCCGTTAAGTTGATTCTAACGGCAATACTATGATTAGCAAAACCGGAGAAACGCGTACACGTTCCTCTTAATGCATCGACTTGTACGTTGACACAGCTGCCACGTGTTGACGTGACACACGTGGCAAGTCGTATAACGCATCTGTTCTCTGTTGAAAATCATGCTTTATAATTAGCAGATAATGTGTGTGTGTATGTGTATTCACATAGTAAGTATTGGGTCATTAAGTATAAAAAAAAATATATATATATATAAGGTTGATTGGAAAGTTCGTATTTTAGTACGAAAAGACTTAATAATCAACCCAATATATTTGTAAATATATGATAAATACTTGAAAAAAAAAAAAATTATATTTAGTCTCATACTTAATGACCCGATGATAATAAGAGAAAAAGAGATAAACAAACAGAATGTGAAAATTACGTTCTACAATTACTTTGAAAGAAGAACAACATTGAAATAAAATGTGGAATTATAGTATTATTAAGTTAAATTAATTGTTATAATTAGCGATAAACTCTCTTAACCGCTATAACAAAGCCAGCGTGCAATTACGACTTGACTTATTAAATATAATTTTTGTAATTGGCGCGTATTGCTCTGAATTATTAATTCATTCAGTCATAGTATCTATCGTTTGTTCTCTCTCTGTTGCAGTGTGCCAAAGCATAGACATAAGAAATAGCGTGAGTCAATTTTCAAAGCTGGAAGGATGTCGAGTGGTGGAGGGCTTCGTACACATATTTTTGATCGACAAAGCGAACGAGACGTCCTACGCCAATCTCAGCTTTCCCGATCTGGTTGAGATCACGGGATATCTCGTTTTCTACAGGTACTCTCTCTCCGCAAAGGTACCTTACTCTCTGTTCTTCAGAATCTTATTCACGAAATCACATCTGTTTCACACATTTCCCATCGCGAATATCTTCGAGATAGATTGTAGATTGTACTCTCTCTTCTCTGTGAAGGATCGTTTTTCCTTGTAAGTCACGTTGGCAGGTAACTCGGTCATACTTTTTTAAGATATCTCACATCCTCATTTGTTCGCTCGCCTGATTCCAGAGTAGCCGAACTGAAAAGCCTCGGACGACTGTTTCCAAACTTGGCGGTCATTCGCGGTCATTCTCTATTCGTCAATTACGCCCTCGTGGCGTTCGAGATGATGGCGCTCCAGGAAATCGACCTCTACTCGCTCACCAACGTACTACGCGGATCCGTGCGATTTGAGAAAAATCCGCTTCTCTGCTACGTCGACACACTCGACTGGGACATCATTGCCGAGGCCGGTAAGGGGGAGCACGTCATATCGGTAAGAACATTTTTGATAATTTTTCTTTAATTGTTTGAAACAAAGCCACGACGCATTTATTACTTGTAGCGTTTCAATTCGGATGAGTTTATTTATTCAAGGCTCTCAAAGCGTCAGCTTCTTCCGGCACTTTACTCTCGTACCTGTGTTAAACCGGTAGAACCAATTTGACAGAATCGAATTAATACGCTCTGGCGCCTTTCAGCTTTGTTCTTATATATTATTTACGAGAAATAAATGATCGTAGCGAGCGTTACACTGGCTTAATAACGTGTTGTGTTATGTATGATAGCTTATTAACAAGCGCGTCATCCGGTTTTTCCCAAACGACAACCGGGCGTAGGCTATCGCGTACTTTTCTTTCTGCCTCACACAACATATTCCGTCAATGAGAGCGCGCCGCCGCTGCTGGGCGCGCGATATTCGTCACGCTTGGCAGCGCGGTGCGACACGGTGTCCGACGGATCTTTCTTGCTACTGAATTATTAAGACACAAGAACTTCAACACAGAAACACCGTGAAAAAATTGCATCATTTACTGTTTTTTTTTTTTTTTTTTTTTGCAAACAACAAAACGCGCGTCCACCTGCCGCCGTGAGGAATGCGCGAAAAATCATCGAACGACGCGCGTGTCATAAAACGATTCTTGCAAACTAATGGCGAATTACATAAAATCGTGCTTGCGATAGCTCCGTTTTCAAAACTGAGCCGAGTTTCGGAATCGAAGCGGACTGCGTTATATTTCGAAGAAAAGAGAATGTCCAGGTGTAGCTTGTTTTTGTTTCTTTTGGAACTGAGCTATAATTTTGTCGGTCACTCGGAATGAACGACAAGAGAGAAAGATTCTTTTGCAAAAGAAATGGGTCGTGAACTCTCAAGAAGGATAAAAGCGTTAACTTTCAAAGGGAAAAAAGTATCAACTTTAAAAAAAAAAAAAGAAAAAAAGAAAAATAAACTTGTGACGAACGATAAGAAAGAAAGATTCTTTCACAAAAGAAAAGCAGCGGTGACTCTTAAGAAGGACAAGCCATAAAAGTGTCAACTTTTGAAGAAAAAAAAAGTACCAACTTTTTAAAATTAATAAAAAATATAAAAGCTATAAAAGTGTCACCTCATTTTGTCCATCATTTTGTTTTTATAAAAAAAAGTGAAGAGAAGCGTGGAGAAGCAGGTTCAGACAGTAAAACGCGTCACCTTAACGTGTTTATTCAAGTTTTTTGCACTCAGTCAAGTGCTTTTTTTTATGCGTGCAGAATAGGTCGATGATAAACAACAACAATGTAACTAAGCAATTTTAATATTCTTTATACGCAAAGAATAGATCGATAAAAATTAGCGACAATGTAAGCGTTCTCGATCTCTTTGATGTGTGCATACGTTGACACACGTGTCAATTTATTGGCTTATTCATTACTTTGGGTTTTTGTAGGGGCAATAAAGAGACGTCAAGAAGCAGACAAAATGTTAAAAAGAGCCACCGAAACGTATTTAAATTTTGCAATCAATTATATGGAGCTATTAATCGTTTTACGGAGACTAAAAAAATACAAAGGTCGATAATAATTGGCGACAGTGTAACTAAGCGTTTCTCGGTCTTTGACGTGTGATAAAATAAAAAAAAAATAAATAAATAAATAAACAAACTAAAGTATAAAATATACGTTTTGACAGTAACATATGAAACATACTCTTTGACGGTACAAATGATATTAATAAATCTGTGGTAATAAAGTGTCTTCCAGAGCGACACTGCTGCGTGTTTAAGCGCAAACGTTTTCAATTATATTTGTTTCGGAAAACTTTGCATCTTCCGATTTATTTTCCACACGAGCGCAGCATTGAAATGTTCCGTGAAAAGCTTATTGTTGAGAGAAACGACGAACACGAATTATCGAATACGAGCTTTTCGCAACGTGTTTTTTTGACCTTCGTATCGACAATTCGTAGCCGATGACGTAATTCCGACGTTGTTTTTTTCTCCTTACACGTATAATTTCGTATACAATAGAGAATTCCATATGTTTCGGTGGAAGCGCGCTTGTACGCGTACGTGTGTGTTTTCCTCCTCATTTCTTCCTTTTGTTTCGTTCGCATCGATAAGATATGCAAAACGAATTAGAAATGGTAATTGTTTTTTTTTGTGGCGCGTAATAGAGGTTTCTTTGTGTCACGATTAAATGGGACAATTATTTTTAGCTCTCGGTGATTGGAAGTTTAAGAGTTTTCAGAGGTTGCAAATTTCCATGGCGCCGGAATGGTTGTTAAAACTAAATTTCGCGGAAAATTCACATGGGAAATTTACGTGTGAGAACGCGCAAATGTAGTTTGTATCACGCACATTCGCGCTTTTCATTTACAGAATAACAAAATGCTGAACGCCTGTCCGCATTGCAATAAAAGTTGTCCGACGCGGCAAACAAAACCGGATGAGAATCTGTGCTGGAATCGACATCACTGCCAACGAAGTAAGTTGTTGTATATTATACTACGACTAATCGATTTCATTCGCGATTGCTCTTTGTGAAATATCGAATCAACACGTATATATAAAATGCCATGTAAAATGTGTGTTGTCACGGTACATGTTGTACCATGACAAATATCACCGTGAAATAAAACGTAGCGATGCGTTAAATTTTCTCGGAACTCTCTGGATTTTAATTCCATTGAAATGTTCGATTCAACACGCGTCGCGGATTTTATAATCCGCGTGTAATTGATGATTTTTAACAAACGATATGTCCAACGAACAACGTACGCACGACGAAAGAGAGAGAGAGAGAGAGAGAGACATGTCGTAAAAAATTGGTATTTTTTTCGCAAAGCGTTTGATTCAAACGCGTGAGACAAGCGTGCAGATTCTTGTCATGAGAGGGGAAACGGTTTGTTTTGTTAGGATGCGACCCGAAGTGCGGAGATAGAGCCTGTGACGACAATGGAAAGTGTTGTCATCCATTTTGTCTGGGTGGATGCACAGGCCCGACTGCCAGCAACTGCATCGTGTGCAGGTACGTGATAATCAACGGTACAGAATGCACGGATGGTTGTCCGAACGGAACTTACGAGTTCATGAATCGGCGCTGCATCTCGGAGAAGGAATGCCGCGAGATGATAAAACCACCCGAGGCGCCGGCCTCCGTCAACTTTAGACCGTACAAACCGTTTCACGGCAAGTGCGTGATTGAATGCCCGTCCGGTTACATGGAGAGCGTAAACGACGATGGGAAAAAATCCTGTAAAAAGTGCGACGGCCTTTGTTTGAAGGAGTGTAACAGCGCGCACGTGGACAGCATCGCCTCGGCGCAAAAGCTGCGCGGGTGCACGCATATCAAGGGTAGCCTGGAGATACAGATACGAGGTGGGAAGAGCAGCGTGAAGGAACTCGAGGAGAACTTGAGCATGATCGAAGTGATAGACGGCTATCTGAAGATCGTTCGCAGCTTTCCGCTGATATCCCTCAACTTTCTCAAGAATCTACGCCTGATACGCGGACAGGAACTCGAGAACGGCAAGTACAGTCTAGCCGTGTTCGATAATCAGAATCTTCAGGAGCTCTGGGACTGGAACACCCACCCAAATTTGACCATTTTGGCCGTGAATAGCTCCGCCAAGCTCTTCTTTCACTTCAATCCGAAATTGTGTTTGTACAAGATCGAAGCTTTGCGGGAGAAGACCAAGTTGGAGGAGTTCGACGATCACGATGTGGCGCTTAGCAGCAACGGAGACAAAGTAGCATGTAACGTTACCGAGTTGAAGACCAGAGTCACCAAGAAAACATCTAAGGGAGCTATTATCGAGTGGGAATCTTTTGTGCATCACGACACCAGATTCCTTCTGGGTTACGTGGTTTATTTCATTGAAGCGCCTTATCAAAATGTTACGATGTACGATGGTCGTGACGCGTGCGGTGGGGATGGCTGGCGAGTAGAGGACGTCTCCGCGGAAACCGTTACGGAGGAGAACGCCAACAATAATAGCAACACGGATCGTAGCTACTACAATAGCCACATACTGACCCAGCTGAAGCCCTACACTCAGTACGCGTACTACGTCAAGACTTACACCATTGCGACGGAGCGGTCGGGCGCGCAAAGCGAAGTCAAGTATTTCACGACACTGCCGGACGCGCCTAGCTCACCCAGGGCATTATCAACCTGGAGCAATTCCAGCAGCGAGCTGGTTATGTCTTGGTTTCCACCGTTGGAAAAAAATGGGAATCTGACGCATTATCGAATCGTCGGTCGTTGGGAGCCCGACGATCAAAGTTTCATCGAGCAGAGAAACTACTGCGACGAACGTAAGTTGTTTTATTCTTTTTTTTGTTTTTTACATAGCGAGACGCGGTTGAATAGAGAAGACAAGATTCTAATATGTTTCAAATGTATCGTAAAGTTATCACGATTGTTTTGATTTGTCAGCTATGCTGTTGCCCGAGAAGAAACCAATGTCCGTCATAGCGGAAGAAGAGAGAAAACGCGCCGAAGAAGAGAAGGAATTAGTAAAATTACCCGATACTGAGACTATGTCGTGCACATGTACGGGCCGAGAATCACCGGATCAGTCAATGCGCGAGAAAGAAGTTTCCAGTTCGATCGCTTTCGAGAACGCGTTGCACAACCAGGTCTACATAAAACGAATAAATGCGCGTAGAAGGCGCGACACTAGTGACATGTTATTCGAGACTAATCTAGCTAAGAAAGATTTCAGCTCCGATCAGGTGAGAAACAATATACTTTAGGATTCGTTTCTCTTAAGACTTGCGTATTATCTTACATAAGTCAACATATGTAAGAGAAGAAAAGAAATAACGAATTGTAAAAAATATATATTTAGAGGAATAACTAATGTAGTCCGCGTAACTTGATTCTGGCTCTGCACTTAGTTACGTACACAACTTACTATACTGTTGTTTAAAATTCATTATGATTCTTGATATTACGTTTTTTAGGACAAGGAAAATATTAACGACAAAATAGTGAACGACACGTACATACAGTTCGAACGATTAATACCGAGTACAAACCTTACTTACGTCATGAGAAATCTCCGACACTTCGCCGCTTATAATATCGAGGTTCAAGCTTGCAGAGAACGGGTTGCTAATGAGACGACGAAGAATTGCTCGACAAAGAGCATGAAAACTTATCGCACGCTAGCGATGGAAAGTGCAGATAATATTCCACCGAATACCTTCAAGCTAAGTATTTCTGACAAGAATAACAGTCTCACTACGATCACTCTGTACTGGGACGAGCCACCTCAACCCAACGGTCTAATTGTCACGTATCAGATCGAGTACAAAAGAGTAGACATAAAAAATGTAAGTAACACGTTATATTCAAATATTAACTAAGCAAAAGCATTACAAAAGCACGCAACTATTCTACAAATTTCTAATCACAAAAATAGAATTAGATTAAAAAATAGTCTTAGAGACATTTTTTCTAAAGATTCTCTCGAAAAAAGAAATGGAATTTTAATTTCAAAAGCATTCTTAGTGTCTTACTGTTTAATGCATTTTACATCTAAAAATATGTTTCTTCTTATCTGTGCAGATAAAAGCAACGGTGTGCATTACAAGACGCGATTTTATCAACTTGGGTAACTTGTATATCTTGAAAGATCTTCCCGCCGGGAATTATTCTGTAAAAGTCCGAGCTATGAGCTTAGCCGGATACGGCGCTTACACCGAGATAAAATATTTTTATATAGACGAATACAACACGCTTAGCACATCTTGGATCTTGTTCTTGGTGATATTGAGCGGTGTTTTAATTTTCATTGTCTTGGGCATATATATATTCAAAAAACGAGCAATGCGAAATGTGTCCAGCACGAGGCTCATCGCGACGGTAAATCCGGAATATGTGAGCACGAGTTACGTGCCGGACGAGTGGGAAGTACCCAGAAAGAACATTCAATTGTTACGAGAATTAGGGAACGGTTCTTTCGGCATGGTGTACGAAGGAGTGGCCAAGGATGTCGTAAAAGGCAAGCCGGAAGTACGATGCGCCGTGAAAACAGTAAACGAAACTGCAACCGACCGTGAACGAATAGAATTTCTTAACGAAGCGTCCGTCATGAAGTAAGAAAATTTAATTGCTTCCTCTATAAAAAGGCATTTGTATTCCAAATTATTATTCTATTTGCAAATTTTGACTTTTGATATATTCTTTGTGTTCGAAGGGCTTTTAATACTCATCATGTAGTGAGACTACTTGGTGTGGTGTCGCAAGGTCAACCCACATTAGTAGTTATGGAATTAATGGTGAACGGCGATCTAAAGACATATTTGAGAAGCCACCGACCGGACGTGTGCGAGAACTCGAAACAACCTCCTACTTTGAGAGATATCATACAAATGTCAGTCGAAATTGCGGACGGCATGTCTTATCTCGCGGCAAAGAAATTTGTTCATCGAGATTTGGCCGCTCGCAATTGTATGGTGGCTGAAGATCTTACCGTGAAGATCGGAGACTTTGGCATGACGAGGGACGTGTATGAAACTGATTATTACAGAAAAGGATCTAAGGGACTTTTACCTGTCAGATGGATGGCACCGGAGAGCTTGAAAGACGGTGTGTTCACCACTTTTTCTGACGTTTGGAGCTACGGAGTTGTTCTATGGGAAATGGTAACATTAGCTTCGCAGCCGTATCAAGGCTTGTCAAACGATCAGGTGAATACAAATCTGCGTTTAGTGTGATTATTATTTATTTTTATCCAAGTATCAGATAACGTATGTTTTCATAGGTGTTGCGTTACGTAATTGACGGAGGAGTCATGGAACGACCAGAAAATTGTCCCGACTCGTTATACAGTTTAATGAGACGCACTTGGAATCATAGAAGTTCAAGAAGACCTACATTTTTAGACATTGAGAAGGAGTTGTTGCAAGAAGTTAACATAGAAGGCTTTGAGAACGTTAGCTTTTATCACAGCGTGGAAGGAATCGAAGCCCGAAATCAAAATAATTCTCATTCACCGCAAAATGACCAGTAAGAATATAAAATTCTAACACAATAAATTTTTTTTTTAGTAAAACAATATGATTCTTTTGTATATATGTGTATATATGTGTATACCATGTCAGTTTTACTTCAAACCAGTTTACTTGAGCGTATTTTTGGAAAATATTTACCTAAATTTTAATTTCAACAGAGATTTAGAAATGGTTACTCTACAAGACTTGCGGGAGGAAGATATCGAGGGGGAAGAAAGCTCGCCGTTACGTCAGGACTTCGGTGATTTTGCAAGTTATGACCCTCGCAGTATTAAAAATAACTTAAGTCCGCACTACGGAGCAAATTCGTATGGTGAAACTTCTAAAGCTACTTCCAATTTCCATGACATAAATTCTGCAACGGTACCTAAAGCTGGCTTCGATGAGTTCGGTGGGATCTCTGGGGATTCGTTCGTATCCAATAAAGATACGTTGAACTCACCTTTCGTAGAAGGCTGTCTTAAATCAGTTAGGAGCTCGCCTTTTATTTATAAGAAAAACACATCTCGCAACAACGTAAGTCAAGCTTCTCTGGGCAAATCTGTGAGCCCGCAAAGTTTAGCTAAACAAAATTTTCTTGATAGTCCAAATCCGTCTAAGTCTCTGGACGAACATGATTATGAAAACAGAAGTCCCGAGATCATGTCGGGTATCGATAAAAATGAGATTGCTCCATTGCGTTCTATCACTCGAGGATTTTCGTCTGTGGACACTGTAGATATTGAGATTAATGGTGACAAAAAGGAAAACAATCACACGAACGATTACGTAAACAAACCCGAGATATTGAACAACGGTTATATTAACAGCACGACAACGTAGCTTCAGTGATTCTCTCATCTGATTATCAGGAGATTCAATGCAAGATAAATTATATATATATATATTTATACATATATATATATATGACGAAATTATATCTGCGATGTAAATCGCGAGTGATCGTATTCTACAAATAAAAAGGCAGTGTCTGTGCCAAATTTGTGAACACACTGGGTTATAATTCAGGAAGGATCACACATCAAGCAGTGTTTTACACTAAAACTGGATGTTAGTGTTTTAGACTAACACATGTTATACTCGTAAGTCTATATTTTAAACGTCTAGACGTAAAATAAAAATAACTAAGAGTACCAGGTCCTAAGAAACAAGTGGTGTTTCCTTATACGGGTGTTACCATGTCTTAATAATTCCGTCTCTCTAAATGTAATTAATATCGCTACGAGTGTACAGCTAACTGTATAATTGTTGTGCTGCAATGCATGCGTTTGGAACAAGGAGAGCAGCGAATATATTTATATCAGATACTGTCTTTTTAAAGTTATCGCTGTAATATATACATTATATACGGAGAATTTAGGCTTAACACTAATGATCATTATCGTGGAATTGTGAACAACCGCAGATTTAAACCAAACACACATCTCTTCTTGAAATAGGTCTATACGTTGTGGAAAAAACATGTTAACATTCATCGTCGTTACATGATATTTGATGCTGATAAAACAAAGAGTGATATAGCCCTTCTCCTCATTAATCTATTCAGATGTAAGAATATATCAAAGAGTTAAGCAGATTGATTATTTATAATATCATAGAGATTTTTTTTTTTCTGTTTAATCTTCAGTCGTAAGGTTATGCTAGTTTCGGATGTAAGTAATATATATTTGTATAGCATCGATTATTTTTCTTTTCCTGAGTTTATTGATATAACTATGGGTAAACCAAAGTGGCAATTAGGTTGACTACCGCGTTGGTACGATATTTTGTTCACAGCAAAGAGACCACATTTTATAACTTTTGTGAATTATGCCTAGTCGCCACTTTGCACGATTTTAGACTTTGTGTGTGAACTCGTGAACTCATTATACATATATATATATACACATATATATATACACGTATAGTAACATAAGTTATAAATATATTTGTTGGAAGATTATATATATATAATATATGTAGAAGGTGATTCAGAATATTGACTTATAGAAAAAAAAACAAATACATAAAACCGCGCGTTTCTCTAATTTATACAAATTTCTATTTATGTTTTCTACGTTGTTTTAGTGATTTTGACTCTAGTATATCAGTTCATCTAGGAGTTCTGAATCCCCAATTTATTGATATATGGTAGGAGAATTAGAGAGTAAGGATCTTTTCGACGTTGAAATTCTTTAGTAGTGAGTAGTTTAGCGCGTTTTTGACATCATTCTCGAATGATTCGTCTCTAGTGATTATTATTTTAATATTTTTAATCGCGATTATGGCAAAATCTTACATGAAAATAATTAATGTGTGTTTGACTCTCTTTATAACATATGATAACAATATTATAATTTTAATATTTTTAAACTAATCAAATATTCTGCGCTGAAACTTTTTAATGTTATTTTGAACGACACCCTACTCTCGTTTCTCATTCTGTATATCTAGGCGATCTAGTGAATATACATATATATAAAAAGCTATCAAAAGCAAAAACAAAAAAAACAAAAAAAAAAAAAAAAACAAAGCTTGCACTGTGCATTGGAAAAGTTTTTAGAACTGAGAGCAAATTAACAAATTACGAGAACACATTGTAAGGAAACTTAATATTTTCATTCACGTGGACATAAAGCTCATCGAATGCACTTACATATTTTATTAACCTGATTGAAACAAGCAATAATTGCCACTTTTTCAAAGTTAATTTATTACATTTGCTTCGGTTCTTAAACTTTTTTGAGATAAACTGTCCATATGTGACAGAATGTGCTTCTATGCACGTGATAGTACTAATATTTCGTGGAGCTGATACACGAAATGTTTCTTCTCTCTCTTTTTCTCTCTAACATCTCCCGCAACAAGGCATACTCCGCAACAATACAATACGTTTTTTTGATTAAAAGTTAACACACACATACACCATAAAGATTTATCGTGCAATTTACAGTCACTCAACAGAGTTTACAGTCTCCACATCGTGCAATAGTATCGTTGGCGTCTATGCTCCATAAAGTAACCGCAACAACTTCACCGGTGGTGCTTTGTTGACACAAACTATCGTCCTTAATCCATCAGTCATCAAGTCAGTCGTTTCTGTGTCGCTCCACGAAATAAACCATGAAATTCAGAGGCATGCGCCATGCTTTTGAGAGTAGAGACGAGAGAACGTTAGACTGTCCTAAAGCCCAGTGAGAAGCAAGATTGTTGGCGAACAAAAAAAAAAAAAAAAAAAAAAAACAGGTGTAATTATTATTGCAATTTGCAAGATAAACAATATCGGACGAATCCCGACGAAACGAGTTATGGAAATGGTTATTATATATCAGTAACCGCAACGCAATGCAGTCGAGTCTAGACATAACGAGCCTCTAACACAAGACTGATTAGCTAATCCCGTTGTACATCCGTAATCTCTCAGTAAGTTAAAAATACAAGACAAAATGGTAGAAGTTCCACATCGTTTCATATTAGTAGTTACATCTCTTTCTTCGGTTGGTTTATTTCTTTCTTTTATTTTGTTTTCTTTTTCCGCCACCGTTTGAATTATTGTTTAAGTCCGTTCAGAGATTTATTACTAGCATTTGTTTCGTTCCTACAACATCGCTCGCAAAATTGTCACTTTGCTTCGATGTTATTTAGCAGAACAAATGTGTAAAACAATACATAGGGGTCCGAAATAATTGTATTATTTATCAGAACGATTTGTTAACACAATTCAGAAGAATATTCGTTTTTTCTTTATTGAAAAAAAATTGCTCATGGAAAAAAATCGTTTTTTTTTTTTTTGTGCTTGATGCAATGATATTCTCAAATTAGATTTTTGCTGAACAAAACTAAATCTTTATTCGTTCATATCGTGTTATCTTTTGAACGATTAAAACTTTTAAATTAATTTTTTACTATATAAATACATTTCGCGCAAATTAGTCTGGTAATTGCTGAAAACTCAACTTTTTGTCAAAGCGTTTTTCATTTAAAAAATAATAATAATAATAACAATAACGGATTAGTCTCAGGATACCCTATATATCAACGATTAAAGTACCAGTGACCTAATAAGCAAGTACCTAAATCTACGTATGTAACACACATTTTGTATATATTATACTTTGGATATAAATTGTGAGATACAGTAAATTGTACAGGCAAGTAAGGGGGAAGAATGCGGGTAAAAAAAAAAAAAAAAATACAAAAAGCCAGTCAGATCTTATAGAAAATGTAGAATAATATCATCCTGTTGTTAATTTAGAGTATTTATATTATTTCATTTCTTTTTTTTTTTCTATATTTTATAATATAGACTCCGGACTATAATGATCACGCAATTGTTTCCTGGTTTTCTTTTCGAAAGAATCTGTTCACTATCATAATACGTGCCAAGTTATTAAGCGATTGCAGACATTTATCGCTTGCGCGCAATAAATGTTCTTCACCTTTATATTTGATCGATCACTGTAGTCTCTCTGTGTGTGTGTTGTGTGTCGAGCACACATAGAATTTGTAATCATTTGAAGTTTCGACCAAATGATCGAATCAGCGATCGTGTACTTATATAGTCTCGGACCACGATGAAGCTTTTGTTTTGTAGCTCATGATTTTATTTAGCGTACAAAGAATAATTTCTTCCGTTTGGGTTAAATCTTTATTGTTTTTTTTGTTTTTTTTTTGTTTTTTTTTTTTTTTTNTTTTTTTTTGTTTTTTTTTTTTTTTTTGAAAGCGAAATTCTGTAGGAACGAAAGGCAGCGAAATCGAGGAATGGAAATTATGTAAATGGAATTTCTAAACAAAAAAAAAACAAATCAGCAGAGAGAAAAAAACATGATTAATGACAGACAAACCTCTTGGCCGTCCAGCCACGGCCAATGTTATCGTAAATAATAAGCCTCGCTCGTACTCTGAAGTATTTAGTGTAATAAACATTAAACAGTTACAACGCTTAGACTATATATACTGATGTACTGATGTAAGTACGAAATAAGTAATCCGTAGGTTAAAAACACGAAATGTTTCCTATATATGGACGCGCGAGTCTTCATATTATATATATATATATATATAACATATATATATATATGTATATAACATATATATATATATATATATATATATATATAAAATAAACGGCGCGCAATCGCTAAGAGAGAGTTTTAGGCCTCCATAGTTTAATTAATAGCTCTGTAATATACTAGAATAATCTGAAATGATTAAGGTAGCAGCGTTAATTCGTGTCTGGAAATTGCGTAACTATTAAAGTGTGCCTGTTGACAATGCGCGTGTCGATTGATATCGACTGATAAGTGTGTAACTTTCGAGATATATACATATATACGTACACACACATATATATATGTATCTATTTAAAAAAAAAACGTTCGTAAATTGTAAGGCAGAAATTTATAAGGATTGCAGGCCTCGCGCCTCTAGATCAATGTACATCTGTATCAATTGATAGAAAAACAAAAAAAAAGAAATCAGATCGAGGAATTTTATAACGGGCATAACGGAGAAAGCGTTCCGTTTTCCTTACCACGTGTGTGAAACAGTTTCAGCTAAATCTTGTTGCCTTGTGTTCCGCGAACAAATAGTATCCTCTTCCGCTGACTTTCTTTCTAGACTGAACTGTTCGTGCTCATTAAACGTCATTTGAAGCGTTTAACTTAAGATCGTTCCACATCTCAAGTCCGCTATATAAAATTTATTTTTGTATTTATTCTGCAAACGTGAGGCAGACAATTTTTTTTAAGACAACTCGCGCGAGAAGCTATTGGAAATTAGTCGATATTTTATAATGCACGTTTTTGTTTTTTGACAAATATACATCAGCATTGCGACGATTTAATCATTCTTTTCGTCTTCTCTTTGTCTTTGCAATCGACATTACACGCTCTCCCTCCGTATTTCGAGACTTCTGTTGTAGCAATAATTCACGCGCAAAATATCGGAAAGATATTGATTTTTTATCGAGAGATGTATATTAGACTTTGCGACCCGATATCATTGTTAAACGATTCTTCTTTTTCTTTTGTTACGCACGAGCGCTTTGTCGTCTTACATCCGGAAAAATCCACCGTGGTGAATCAATTGTCGTGACTTCCAAGTGTTTCTAGATATTTCAGTTTTTGTTATTCAAGTTCTCTGCTTGCAAGCGCGCAGTTCCTATATAAATTATTTTTGTATCTTCACGAGAGATCTCTGAGACGTCGTTGTATTACAACCTTGTATCATTACATTTTACCGCATTATGCAAACACTGTGTGCTTTTTTTTTTATTGACTATGTACATTCAGTCTATATTTAGTAATATTTTTTAAAATATTTTTGTCAGAAAGAAGTTACTCGATTACACACATAACTCTGCTCAATATTAGATTGCTCAAGTTCTGTACTGATCTATCATTAAAAATAGCACTGTGTAAAAACCGTGTAACTGCAAGCTGAAAGAAAAAAAAAATACGGCGCTACGTAAATGTGTACATTGCGTGCATATGAATATACAACAATCAGAGTCCTCTCCACATTGCAACTATCTCTGAATTAATGAGAAATATTCCATATATATATGTAAGATCTCACTTTTTGTATAAAACAGTCTTTAGATAAAAATTTAGATGATTGAAGTTTTATATATTTTTTTACAAACACACAGTAAAAACATTTTGTTACCTTTTGTGTGTTGACGCGAACGCATATTACTCTCTTTTTTCGCAATGTTATTGAACAATATTTGTTAAACTTTGGTTTTGACTTTTTTTGTTTTTTTCTTAGAACTTATGATTGTCTGCTTCCAAGAATTGTCATTGTCGCTCATTAAATTTCTTATGTGCGATCGTGTAGTAATATTTCTCTCTCTCTCTGTATATGCCCAGATCGTGCCAGAACGCAAGAGATTCTCTTAATACCGACTATTTTACAAAAATAAAATTGAAAAAAAAAAACACATTTTCATACATATTAAAACACATATTTATATATTATAAAAACAAATATTTTGATAAACAAGAACAAATGTTTCCATCTCTTTTTATTTCGATATAAGAGGAAGGTTGTAATCTGTAAATAATGACACGAGCAATTTTACTCTGTTATTTGTGCGAATGGAAATAAAAGTAATGTACTTTGAAATTTATTTACGTCGGTGATTTTATTTTTTTCTGCAGTGATCAAGAAGATGTATATACATATATTTTCCTTGTATTTAGAAGTTCATCAGAAAGATCATATAATTATTCATTATTCATTATATAAAAGTGCGCAACATGGATTTTTAATTGTTCTTATTGTACAAATCATCGATGCCGATTTTTTATCGCAGTGTATGGCAGTTGGTGAATTTGTTGCAAATTGTGTGTCTTTTTTTTAATAGCTGTCACTTGCAGAACACGTGTTCATTCAAAGAAATGAACACGCCTGTTATTCGGCGTTTTTACGGCAATGTCACAATAATAAAGGGGTATATTGCCGGAGACACATTTAATTATTACACAAAAATTTAAAAAAAAATTTGTAAACGCATAAAGAAACGTTTTTTTGTTTAGATGACAATTCTCTTGCTGCCTTACTCGCCGGAAAATAAATAAAATAAAAAAAAAAAAAACAAAGTGTTACATTTCAACGCAACGAATGCTCAAACGATTCATTTCGCAAACTGTAACAGAAGTGGAGCTATCGCTCGTCAATTTACGATCAGCTGTGATACAGATGTGCAAAGAGGATACACCGTAGGATTGAAACACCGTTTCCGTTTTTTTCCGCTACACACGCTTCTCGGCGACGTTTCTTTTTTCTTTTTCTGTGCAACACCGATTTAGTTCTCTCCGAACGTTTGTAAATAGCGCTTCGGCTGATTTTTAACACTGATGGGGAATGCGTGTGGTATTTCTGCTATGAAGTGTTGTGAATGCGTTCGGCAAACGAGAAGTGTGTTTATATGATACATATGTCAAATAAAAAATCGATACATTGACGGGAAGCGAACGCGGAGTTTTCTCGACAATTGCTAAAATAAAAAAATTAAAAAAAAAAAAAAAAAAAAAAAGTACTCATTGTTTCCCTGTGCGAGAGTTTTACGGAAAAACCTTGGCGTCGAGAGAGCTCTCTGCGGATTCCGCAACCCCCGAGTCTCCCGTCGTATCAACGAGTAGATAGTTAGTCATTAGACGGATTTATCTGAACCGCAGAGCGTTTGCACGTTAATCGTCCGTGAAATGGCGAAGGAGGATACACCGGAATCAAAGATTAGCCTATAAAGTCCTCTCGTAAATATATCGTGCGTGAAGATACGAAAATAGAGAGAATGAGAGCTGTTCACGACCAAGTGGTGTGTACAATCCGTGTTTTTTAGCTGATAAAATTACCAGATGAAGAAGATTAATTGATCTATATGTATATATATATAATATATATTTATAGTTAAAATATTATTTAATATAAACCCCCGAGAGAGATACACGCGCGTAAAGAGACATACACACACACACACACACATAGATAGATCGATTCTTAACACGCGGTGTCTTCGAAATGTACGAGGGGGGAGGATTCTCTCAGCTCTGCATTCCAGGACGACTCGTATATATATATATATATGTATCATCTCCAACTTCGAAGAACGCATTTGACTAATTTTTTGCGCGCACCATTGTTAGAACGAACTATTTTCTTAGACATTTGTTTCTGAGTAATGCACACAAAATACACGTTAGTGTATTTTTGTTTCTTCTTCAGATAATTGTTTTGTTTTTCGAAAAACAAAAAGCAAACGCCACTGCCGTGATAAAATTAAAGAAGAGAAGCTTGCCGAGGAGAAAACTATAAGATACGAACAAACGATACGACGCGAAGAGTTCGCGCTTCGAGACACTCAATAAAATTACGGAATTGAAATCCTCGTCTAAATATAACAAGCGTCGTAAACACCTTTATTACTTGTTACTCGTGTGTGGTAACACCCTTGTCAAATCACTCGCGTTATTTTGTAAAGTTTCGCGCGCATTTGTGTTGTGTGTAACGAGCGCGCGCTTCTCGCGCGACAATAGCGTGGTAGTAGCAAAACCACGGTCGATGTTTTTTTATCAGCGGGACGGGCCTACGAAATGGGCGAAGAGGATAGTCAGTTGTTGTTTCATAGTTTGATTAAAAATCGAGAGTAATCTTAATTCCGCTTACTTAAATCGCGCGCGTGCGCGCATGCGTTGACAGCACGACGACTCTTCTGTTTTCTTACAAAGCGAGTTACCACGAATATCACACTCGTTCACACACACACACACACACACACAAGCATATATACAAAGATAGAGAATGATAAAAAGTGTAATAAGACAACGCATTTGCAAAGACGCGAGAATCGAAAAAAGAAAACGCACTTCAGTAACACAAAGTGAAAACAGAATATAACTGTCGAGACACACAGCCATCGCAGATTTACACAGAGATAGTCGTAGGTGTAATTTTTCATTTGTAATTTCTGCGACCGAGCAATTGCGCTACGTGCAAGGGTGATCGCGATCTTTTTTCATGTCTTTGCGAACTACTTCCCCTCTCACATCTCGTCTCCCCTCCCCGCCCACTACACCCCATCAAAGATACAATGACCCTTGCCTAGGCAATGCTTGACAAATTTATATAGGGATACATCCGATTGTCTCTCATTATAAAAAAAAAAAAAAGTGTATTTACTATTATAATTATACGATACGCGCTGTATAACGCAGAGGAAGAAACAAATTTTATTTACCAAATACCAGTTTTTTAATAAAAAAAACTTTTTGTGAAGAAAATTCACTTGTGTCGTCTATTATGTCCTCTTGCTCTCTCTGTCTCATATATTCAATATTATCCGTCGCACGTTACGTTGAGATGCTCGATTAACTTTCGGGGTCAACGCGCAGGGAAAACCGCTTAAATGTCAAGTAAACACTTGACGTGTGACGCGTCATTTTTCATTGTTCGGTGATCGAAATCCGCACGAGCACGTAACGCAACGCGCGACGAACGTTCTCGTTATACAACGGCTCGAAGAGTATGTACTAAAGATACTTGAAGGTACTTACACACACAACACGTCCCCGCGAGAACGTGAGGGAACAGAGATGTATCCAGGTGTAACATCCAGACAGATAGGGAGGATGTACGTAGACAAAAAGTTGTAATTTGTGTAGATTTAGAGAATGTCGCTGAAAGAATCTTCGAAAGTATCCGGCAAGCATGTCGCGACGAGAGGTAGCGAGATAAAACGGCAGGCGGCTGATGTTGCCGGACGACCGCTCGAGGAAACGTCGAGAGATATCAGGGAAGTATGTCACGGCGACAGGTAACACGCGCGGGAGGTGGCGCGAGAAGTGTCACGTAGCCCCACCTCACGCGGCCCGAACGAAACAGCCGCGAACAAAATGGCCAGGTCGAAGGGCGTGTGCTCAAGCGGGGCGCTCATTGGCCGGAGCGTTCGCGCGCGCTTATTTGCTGCCTCGAGTCGAGTTCTGCGCCGAGTCGAGGCGACTTCTTCTCGTTAACATGATCCCCGGATGTCTTCCAAGACCGAATGATGCGACGTGTCGCGTCCAGGTCACTGGTCTCTATAACACACTCGATAGGGGATAGGCATAAATAAGTGTGACGGGAAGTGCGGCCATTGAAGTAAGTCGACGTGCCAATACAAATATGACGAGAAAGTGTATATATTGTGATGAAAAAGCTGCTGGAAAAGAAAGGTCTTTTCACGCGTAAGTATTTAAGTTAAATATATAAAGTGATAGCGTAAATGCGTTATGTAAAATTATTAGATTATGTTTTTGCTTGTTTTGACAACTCCAAGTTCTTAATATTGTTTTAAAACATTATTTATTTTTTGTACTTAATTTTATAAAAAAAACTACGTAAAGTATTTTGAACAAAATAAACAATATACTGATGTTTTGCTGATAAGATTTTCAGTTGCCTATATTACTTTTTGAAATTGCCGCGTAAATTGGCATGTCAACTCGCTACAATGGGTCGTACTTCCGGTCTTCTATTCGTCACAAAAATTTTACATTGGGAAGCGACGTATTTCCTCTATCCAGTGTATTATAGAGATCAGTGGTCCAGGTCGGATCCATGCGCGCCTTTACGTGAAGTTGCGTAGATGTAACACAATGCCTCGATGTCCTAAACAACGAAAGGCGCAACTTCACGTGTAAAGGCGCGCGTGACGGACCCGACTGTACGATTTCCTACTTCGTATCGATTTGATTTTTGACAGTTCGCAGTATAAAATTTAACTAATTGATCGTCTCCATGTTAAGTTAATTATATTCACGCGACATATTCAAATCATTTTCTCTTCTGTAATGTATCGCAAGAGCTTTCTTGCCGCATTATGAAAAATCGATTGCTCGGTTACATTTGCATCTTCATCCTGTTCGAGGTAATAACGCAATCGCCGATTTACGCGAAAGTCATCAACGATACCTGCAGGTAATTAACCGCGACGTTTTGCAAGCCGCGCGGCGCACCTCTATTTTATGTATTTATGATAAATAATTACGATGCTGTATATGTAAGACATTCCTCGATATTCTGCGTAAAATGTATCGCGTATGAAATATTCTTCATTATATGTCGCTTGCGAAAATATACGCGTTTTCAGAGCGAAACGAGAGATAGCCGCGATATCGCAACCGAGAGATACCGCAAAAAAAACAGCAAAGCAACTGGAAGAAGTGAGTTTGAAACGCGAGAGAAACGACGATGCTCTTCTCGAGGATGGCGATGCACATTTGAACGAGAAACATAGGATTTCGAGAAGATTCGCCAATTCGGTGAACACCGATTCTAAGTCCAGCATCGAAAAATCCACCGATTACGAGGCTGCAGCCGGTTATCGTGTACGACGCTTGAACGAGGAATCAGATTACGCGGAAGAAGCGGAAGAGGAAACGAACAAAGAGGAGATAGGGAGACAAGATCAAAAGACGGCGAGCAATCTCGTGCGATTATCTCGCGACGTTAACGACAAGTACACCGATCAGGACGAACGATCGAGTCTGTACGACGACTACGAAGCGAAAGATGTCGCAAAGCGCGGCATCCTGGGCGGTCCGGAAGATTACGAAGAAGCTGAGGACGACTCGTCGAAAATAGAAGACGTGGCTGCGTTGCAGGAACAAGAACTCGCATCAAACGAAGCCGACAAGAGAGAGACGCGGAACGACGCGCGGGTGAAGAGAGATCAGACAGTTGCGGGATTGCTTGTTGACAAAAGCGATTCAACTCCGGACAACGCGCCAAAGTTGGACGAGTTGAAGATCGCGGAGGAAGATCCTACCTCGTCGCGCCGAGTTTCTCTCGTCGAGTCGACGAAAAGTTTCGACGGAGCTTCGGACGATATTAGCAGCAAGACAAAAGACTTTGAATCGAATGTGATTGAGAATCCAAGATCGAACGAAGCTTCTCTCGAGATTAAAGAGCCAACGGGTGTAATCGCTCCGTCGTCAGCGAACGACGACTTGAATGCGGAATACGAGAAACGTGTAGAAGACGAGATTCAACGGAAGATTGATTTCATCAAGGAAGAGATCCGACGTGACATCGAGGCGCAAGAGCGAATACGAGATATCGAGGCGAACAACGCGAAATTCGATGAGCTACGGAAACACGAAGACGAGGAGGAAGAACGGAATGTCGAGGGTGAACCGATTGAAAAGAGACAGATTGTAGCAAAGAGATCTGTACGAAAAGAAGACGTGAGAAAAAATAACGACAAGAGATCCGCAAAGGAACAGCGCAACAAGTTGCATCGATCCCGCGAAATCGACAAGTCGAATGCTTCGAACGAGAACAGAAGTGCGAACAGACAATCCGGACAGTTGCCCGCGAACAGACTTGTCAAAAAGAAGCGCGAGCGCGACAGGGAAATGTTTTTGCTGAACAACGAGCGCGAGTCAAGGAAGAGGCGCTCGAGAAGTTACACATCTGATCGAACAGGTGTCACACCGAAAAATGAATTATTCGCAGATCGAGATTTGAATTCTCGTCTCCACACAGATGATAAAGCGGTAAGATATCAAAAGAATCTAATTTAATTTTATAAAGCAATTTTCGCGAACTGTCACGTGTTCCTTTGCGATGACGAAAAATAAAATGCGTCGCGCAATTTTACGTCGATGATAATTCAAATAAACAAAATCGTTGCAGCTTCCAAACTCCGATCCGTCCGAGAACGAGAGAGAGGAGAATCGCGTCTCATCGGGGGACGAGACTTCCTTGGTATCTCTCACCGGTAGTTCGCAGGAATTGAGTCCGCGTTTAGCGAGAGAATACAAAGAGGCTTTCGGCGGATTGCAGAGCGAGTCCGGCGGCGCTCTGGCGAGATACAAGCGGGTCAAACGCGTGCTCAGCGATTCCGATGCAAAAATTTGAAGTTCTCGAGTAGTAAACTAAATAAAAATAGCACGTGTCTATTTTATATTCAGAATACGCAATTTTTTGGTGAAAAAAAAAGAAAAAAAAAATAATTTTCCACGTGGCGGAAAATGAAATTTCACGAAAGACGCGTTCCGCAACTGTAGCAGTAACAGAGAACTGAATAATAGGAATACATAAGCGTAGATTTACACGTGTAATAGAATATTATAGAGCGGAAGAGAGAGAGAGAGAGAGAGAGATCTATATATATAGGTATATGTATACGGCGCTTGCGCTTAGAAAGGATTATGTATACTTTATAAGGGAATAATATATATAAAACACTACGGTGTGTGGTGAATCACGAGACATTCAGAGATTGCGAGTCGATTTAATTGTAGCCTAAAATGAACGATATATAAATTCTTGACAAAAGTGAATAACTATGTGTTTTCTACCGCTAATTATATACTTATAAATCTGGGTTTTTTTTTTGTTTCTTTTTTCTTACGCCGGTCGTGTAGAGCGTCAAAAAGATATAAAACGAGTCGAATTGTTCTTTTTTTTTTCTCTCGGACGCTTCTCTCTTAACAATCTTAAAATATCGTTACAAGCTATTTAAAAAACACGATTTTTTTTCGCAAAGTAAATTGCACACGATCGTCAACGCATCGTTTGCAACGATGAGATGTACGCACGCGCTTCGGCAATATTTTTCATTATTATATAACTTTATTTTTGATAAATTTTTATAATTTTATTTAACAGAGACAGTAAAATTCGAAATCAATCAATTGATTTTCAAACCTCTCCGCACACAGTACACACTAGAGAAACATTATGTACAATGACTTGTCGATCGTCGGAAGGCGTTTCTTATTAATTATCACCATAGATCAGTTAGAAAACCCGGAGAACGCGGGCACTTGACGAACGTGCACAAGTCGACTGCGCGGAAAAAATCATGCGCTCGCGCCAGTGACAACAATTTGAAATATAACAGACAATTTTCCACAAGTCGCAGGTATTAACTTTTTGTTACATTTAATTGTATGAAGTGTGTTATTATGTATTATTATTATTATATATTTTTTTTGATTGTATAATTATAAGACATTACTGCATGATGCATTAACAAAACGACATTAAATAATCTATATTTGTATCTCTTTATTTTACAAAACGATCGTTATTGTTTTTTTTTTGTTTTTGTTAGTCTTTCTTTTACCTGTATGCAAATTTTCGATAATGTGACGTTCTCCGGGTTGCCTTTTAGCGCCAATCGAGATAAAGAGATAAAGAGAGAGAGAGGTACCTAGGCAAAGACACATACGCTTCGTAAACGTTCAAGATTTAATTAATAAAGTTTACGAGTAAACACGAAGAAGACACATAAAATCGTTAATTGTTCTGTTATTTTTGTTTGTTTTTTTTTGTGCGCTTACATTGTGGACATTGCCGGAAAAAAACGGCGACAATTGCGCCGCAAAGTACCGGCATTTGTGTCCCGTAATATCTCCGAAGTATACAATCCGCCCCTTGCTCTCGTTCCGTTAATCATTCTACTTTACAACAATATAAAACAGTTATTTACATCGACGGCTAGAAGGATTCGAAAAACGATGAGAAATAGTGTCGATAGGAAAAACTTGAATGTTAAAGAGATGTTTACTTGGCCGAGTGAGTGTGTGTGTGTATGTGTGTGTGTGTGTGTAGTATGCGTAGTGTGAATGAATACTTTTTATATCTGGATGCTGCTGCTTTTCTAGACGTTAGCGAAACTGAAAAAGAAGAGAATATGTTTTCAGAAAATACGAAACAAGATAATTGAGAGAAAATTATAAGTGTATTACGATCGCGTGCAAAATTTGTGTCAGATATTATTCTATTATCGCGCGAATCCATCTCGATATGCGTAATTAAAATTGCATGACGCGTTTCTCAAGATAATACTTTTCTCTGAAATGTAAATTTTCGTGATGGTCGTGATGGTCGTGATGGTTCGGTCTCGTGTGTGTGTGTATATATATATATATATATTGAAATATATACAATATACATATATATATATATTGCATACGCATATATATATATTGCTTCACTCGACTTGTTGCGGAAGTTGCGTAACGCGCATAACCGCTACGTACCAACGACTGATAGAGATGACCTAATCGCTGGATGTATACGCGTTTTAAGTGATCTTTGATATTTGCGCAACTTATGATATCACGCATCGCATAGAAAAAGCAAACAAATGTCAAAGGACGTATTTACCGGCGCACCGCGAGCGGATCGTGTAAATACATATATCGTGCGAAAAAAAAAACTCCGAGAATGCGAGATGCGCGCAAGACAGGTTGTGTGTACATTACAACCGATACAAGCGAGCCGCACACGTGGCAAATAACGTGACGGATTTGGCTTGGTATTTAGTGTTGTGTCGAAAGAGCTCTTTTCTTTTTTTATTTAAAAAAATCGATGTCTGAGAAATGGTGTTCACAATAATAATAATATAGTACAACAACGTAACGGTATTACATATATATATAGGTAATATATATAATTTTTATATATAATATTATTTATATATATAATAATAGATAAAGTTTTTTCTTTTTACCACAGTATGTGTGTTTGTGTTTGTGTGTGTGTGTGTAACATGGCTATATATATGTATACTATGTACAAATATTACAAACTTCTTTCATTTAAGCCCTCACGGATCGACGCAGTAGAGCGGCGCGCGATACAGATCGATCTGTCGCGAGACTAAGCAGCTAGTCGCTTCTTTCCATTCGGCTGCTTATCTCAGTTTCTTTAATTGCACGTTATACAGACTTAGGATTTTATCCATCGTAAGCCGGTCTCTCTCTTTTCCTCGATGCAATAAAGCAGAGGGAAAAAGAGAGAGAGAGAGAGAGAGAGAGAGAGAGAGAGAGAGAGAGAGAGAGAGANAGAGAGAGAGAGAGAGAGAGAGAGAGAGAGAGAGAGAGAGAGAGAGAGAAAGAGAAAGAGAGAGAGAGAGAGAAAGAGAAAGAGAGAAATGTGTGGGTAAGTGATAAAAAAAGAAGTTAGGAAAACTTTCCTAATAGGAGGACATAAAAGTTAAGATAAGGGATTCAGGATAAACAGAATGAGAGGAAGTATTTTAAAATTCATTTTGATTGAGACTTCAACTTGGTTACGTGCAGCACAGATAAACCAAAGAAGGAATACGAAGTTACGCAATTACAAGTGTTTTCGAAGATAGTTTTGCAATGTTGCGCGATGAATTATTATTATTATTATTATTGTTTTATCTTTCCGAAACTAGAAAATTTTAATTTGGTAAAAAAAACCCAATTTCGTTTTCTAATTTCGGAAAAATTTCGCTTCTGAAGACCTGCTTTCTAACTCATCCGAATTATAGAATGTGTTAAATGAGAGATGTGGTTTACACACGGTTGCGGAATTGTTACGTGTATTCTGTCTCCAAAAAAATTTCATCGCTAATTAAAATTCTTACACAAATGTAAGTAAGCTTTGCTAGTAATTTGTATATATACAATACTGAAACCCGTATACAAAATTTGCCAAAACAATCTTTGACGATAGATCGTCACTCCCTACGTATAATCCCGTAACTCCAAAACGCAAATTTTAGAGGAGAGCAGTTTAAAAGTTTGAAGCTTCATATAGTTTCTCTAGTTAAGGGATCTTTCGGTTTTAAATTTTTACCTTACTTATGAATATTTTTTTTGAATACTTGGTGACCACAAAGAACATGATTTTCTGAGTGTCACTATGCAATAAACTGAAAATCCCATATGTGACACTTATGTAATTATACGTAGGGAGTGACGAGATAACAATGACAATTGCAATCACATATCCTTGTTTGGTTTTTTAATATTAATGCAGGTTAATTTGATAGTTCGTCAGATAACAACCATCTCTTGAATCTATATTAGAGAATTATCTAACAATAAGATATGCAAATTATGCAAGTGTGCAGCGTTATCGAAAGACAGTGATCTATACTCCGCAACATGTCCGTTTAAGAATAATACAACGATAGAGGATTCTCTAATGTGTATAAATTTGTCCATTTTGTTTCTGTCGTAATCATAAAAAAGATCCCGTGCTTGTTGTTGTATTCAGTTTTTACGAGTCTTTCTCGATCTTCTTTTTTTTTTTAACGATTAAAATTACAATGATAAATTGACGATTTACGATCCTGATAACATTTAACTTGGTTTAGATCTTACGTTTAAACGATCATATACAATTACGTTTATATTACACAATTATGAGTTGACAGCACGATCTTACACTCTACGACGAATATCTACGCGCATTTGGCACCTCTTACATATACGCGGACGAGACGAGTTTTTTTTTTTGCAAGTAAAAGAGAGAGAGAGAGAGCAAACGGGAAGAGAATCTCATTTACTACGATAAACTTTTGAATATGTATCGATGACTCAACTCTTGGTCACATTAATCACATTTTTTAATATGCGAAGATTATTATTGATAAAATTCTCCTTTCATATTATTTTCCGTCTCATTGCGAGAAAAAAGTTCCCGTAGCCACGAAGTGAAACGCTAATTAAACGTTTAACAACGATACTGTAAAAAGGGACATTTTCATTACTATACTTCGTACTTACCGGAACTTCTTTATCCCCATCGATATTTGCATCTTGTTCACTCTCGTACAAGAGAGAGAACAATCCATATTTATAAGATATGAACATGACATTATTACAATAGCGAATTTACTATTTCCTTTAGATGTAATTCGAATCTCGACCTATTTTATGTAAAAGTGAAGAGAGATGTACATGTGTGCTGAAATACGCACCGCATCAGGCTACGCTATTCCGTGGATTATTCTGACACGTTGTGTTTTTGTTTGT